CCCCATGGGGGAAGCTCTGTCACTGTCCCCAAGGGTTGGTGACCCCTCAGGGGGCTCCGTCACTGTCCCCAAGGGTTGGTGACCCCCTGGTGACCCCCTGGTGACCCCCCTGTCCCAGGCTGACCCCAGCAGCCCCCGGCACGGGGGGGAGCTGGTGGGACACTGGGGATGGGGGGGGTTCTGTCACTGTCACTGTCCCCAGGGGTTGGGGAGCTATGTCACTGTCCCTAAGGGTTTGATGACCCCCTGGTGACCCCCTGGTGACCCCCCTGTCCCCTCTGTCCCAGGCTGACCCGGGCAGCCCCCGGCACGGGGGGGAGCTGGTGGGACATTGGGGACAGGGGGGTTCTGTCACTTTCCCCAGGGGTTTGGTGACCCCCTGGTGACCCCCCTGTCCCAGGCTGACCCGGGCAGCCCCCGGCACGGGGGGGAGCTGGTGGAACATTGGGGATGGGGGGGTTCTGTCACTGTCCCCAGAGGTTTTGTGACCCCCTGGTGACCCCCCTGTCCCCCCCTGTCCCAGGCTGACCCGGGCAGCCCCCGGCACGGTGGGGAGCTGGTGGGACATGGGGGACAGGGGGGGTTCTGTCACTGTCCCCAAGGGTTGAGGAGCTCTGTCACTGTCTCCAGGGGTCAATGACCCCCTGGTGACCCCCTGGTGACCCCCTGGTGATCCCCCTGTCCCAGGCTGACCCCGGCAGCCCCCGGCACGGAGGGGAGCTGGTGGGACATTGGGGACAGGGGGGTTCTGTCACTGTCCCCAGGGGTTGGGGGGTTCTGTCACTGTCCCCAGGGGTTGGTGACCCCCCTGAGGGTCATGGGGGGCTCTGGTGACCCCCCTGTCCCCCCTGTCCCCAGGCTGACCCGGGCAGCCCCCGGCACGGAGGGGAGCTGGTGGGACACTGGGGATGGGGGGGCTCTGTCACTGTCCCCAAGGGTTTGGTGACCCCCTGGTGACCTCTGGTGACCCCCCTGTCCCCAGGCTGACCCCGGCAGCCCCCGGCACGGAGGGGAGCTGGTGGGACACTGGGGATGGGGGGGGTTCTGTCACTGTCCCCAGGGGTTGGGGGGCTCTGTCACTGTGTCCAGGGGTCAATGACCCCCTGGTGACCCCCCTGTCCCCCCTGTCCCCAGGCTGACCCCGGCAGCCCCCGGCACGGTGGGGAGCTGGTGGGACACTGGGGACAGGGGGGGTTCTGTCACTGTCCCCAAGGGTTGGTGACCCCTCAGGGGGTTCTGTCACTTTCCCCAGGGGTCAGTGACCCCTCAAGGGGTTCTGTCACTGTCCCCAGGGGTTTGGTGACCCCCTGGTGACCCCCTGGTGACCCCCTGTCCCCCCCTGTCCCAGGCTGACCCCGGCAGCCCCCGGCACGGGGGGGAGCTGGTGGGACATTGGGGATGGGGGGGGTTCTGTCACTGTCCCCAGGGGTTGGGGGGTTCTGTCACTGTCCCCAGGGGTTGGTGACCCCCCTGTCCCCCCCTGTCCCCCCTGTCCCAGGCTGACCCGGGCAGCCCCCGGCACGGGGGGGAGCTGGTGGGACATTGGGGATATTGGCTCTGTCACTGTCCCCAGGGGTCAATGACCCCCTGGTGACCCCTGGTGACCCCCTGTCCCAGGCTGACCCCAGCAGCCCCCGGCACGGAGGGGAGCTGGTGGGACACTGGGGACAGGGGGGGCTCTGTCACTGTCCCCAGGGTTTGGTGACCCCCTGGTGACCTCCTGTCCCCCTGTCCCACTCTGACCCAGGCAGCCCCCGGCACGGGGGGGAGCTGGTGGGACATTGGGGATGGGGGGGGTTCTGTCACTGTCCCCGGGGGTTTGTGACCCCCTGGTGACCCCCCTGTCCCCAGGCTGACCCCGGCAGCCCCCGGCACGGGGGGGAGCTGGTGGCCGAGGTGCTGCGGGCGCACGGGGTGCGGTTCCTGTTCGCTCTGCCGGGGGGTCACATCTCCCCCGTGCTGGTGGCCTGTGAGAAGCTCGGGATCCGCGTGGTGGACACCAGGCACGAGGCCACCGCCGTCTTCGCCGCCGACGCCGTGTCCCGGCTCTCCGGTGAGGGCCCCGACCCTGCTGGGGGGGAATCTGGGGGGGCTTTTGGGGTTCAGGGACCTTGTGGGGTCTCCAAGGTCCTTCCAGGGTGGGGTTTGTCCCCATTTGTCCCACTTTAGGATGGTTTGGGAGCTCTGGTGGGGTCAGGACAAGGAGGTGACCCCATGGCCAACATCTCCAAAGGGTGGAGGGTTTGGGGTGTCCCACCCTGGGAGGTGGAGGGTTTGGGGTGTCCCACCTTGGGGGGTTCCTGGTGAACCAAGGAGGGTTTGGGGACTTTGTGGGTGTCCAAGGTCCTTCCAGGGTGGGGTTTGTCCCTGTTTGTCCCACTTTAGGATGGTTTGGGAGCTCTGGTGGGGTCAGGACAAGGAACTGACCCCCATGGCCAACATCTCCAAAGGGTGGAGGGTTTTGGGGTGTCCCACCCTGGGGGGTTCCTGGTTGACCTGAGAAGGTTTCAGTGGCTTTCTGGGTGTCCAAGGTCCTTCCAGGGTGGGGTTTGTCCCACTTTAGGATGGTTTGGGATCTCTGGTGGGGTCAGGACGATGAGGTGACCCCTTGGCCAAGGCCTGCCCCGTGGGTGGAGGATTTTGGGGTGTCCCACCCTGGGGGGTGGAGGATTTTGGGGTGTCCCACCCTGGGGGGTGGAGGATTTTGGGGTGTCCCCCCTCTCTCTCCTCCCGTTGACCCCAGAACCCACCTTGTCGCTCCCAAAGATCCTTCCAAGGTGTTTTTTCCCCCCCACCTTGGATCAAACTCACCCCCTTGGCTCCCCCCCCTCAATAAAAGGGGGTGCACAGGACCCCCTCCCAGCCTGGTTTTGTCCCCCCCTCTCTCCTCATCCCCCCAGGTGTCATCGGCGTCGCCGCCGTCACCGCCGGCCCCGGGGTCACCAACGCGGTGACGGCCGTGAAGAACGCCCAGATGGCAGAGTCCCCCCTGCTGCTGCTGGGGGGGGCGGCAGCCTCGCTGCAGAAGGTGGGAACACCCCCCAAAAAACACCCCCCCCTCCAAAAAAACCCAGCACCCCTAAAAAACACCCCCCAGAAAAACACCCCCCAAAAACCCACCACCCCTAAAAACACCTCCCAAAAAAAAAACCAAACCCCCAGGAGGTGACACCGAGGGTGGGAGGGGACATCGAGGGGGTGGGAGGGGGCTCAGTTTGGGGTTAAACTGGGCTGGTTTGGGGGCTCAGTTTGGGGTTAAACTGGGCTGGTTTGGGGGCTCAGTTTGGGGTTAAACTGGGCTGGTTTAGGGGGTCAGTTTTGGGTTAAACTGGGCTGGTTTGGGGAGTCAGTTTGGAGTTAAACTGGGCTGGTTTGGGGGCTCAGTTTGGGGTTAAACTGGGCTGGTTTGGGGGCTCAGTTTGGGGTTAAACTGGGCTGGTTTGGGAGCTCAGTTTGGGGTTAAACTGGGCTGGTTTGGGGGCTCAGTTTGGGGTTAAACTGGGCTGGTTTGGAGCTCAGTTTGGGGTTAAACTGGGCTGGTTTGGGGGCTCAGTTTGGGGTTAAACTGGGCTGGTTTGGGAGGCTCAGTTTGGGGTTAAACTGGGCTGGTTTGGGGGCTCAGTTTGGGGTTAAACTGGGCTGGTTTGGGGGCTCAGTTTGGGGTTAAACTGGGCTGGTTTGGGGGCTCAGTCTGGGGTTAAACTGGGCTGGTTTGGGGCTCAGTTTGGGGTTAAACTGGGCTGGTTTGGGGGCTCAGTTTGGGTTAAACTGGGCTGGTTTGGGGAGTCATTTTGGGGTTAAACTGGGCTGGTTTGGGGGGTCAGTTTGGGGTTAACTGGGCTGGTTTGGGGGCTGTTTTGGGGTTAAACTGGGCTGGTTTGGGGGGTCAGTTTGGGGTTAAACTGGGCTGGTTTGGGGTTCAGTTTTGGGTTAAACTGGGCTGGTTTGGGGGCTCAGTTTGGGGTTAAACTGGGCTGGTTTGGGGGCTCAGTTTGGGATTAAACTGGGCTGGTTTGGGGCTGAACTGACCCAGTTTGGGGCTCCCAGGGCAGTTTTGGGTCCAGAGCTGCTCCGGGTGGTCCCAGACGCATTTCCTGGCACGGCAGATCCCGGGATCCCGGGCTTTGTGTCCTGGCCTGGCTGATCCCAGCCTGGCTGATCCCGACCTGGCTGATCCCAACCTGGCTGATCCCGACCTGGCTGATCCCGCTGTATCCCGACTGATCCCAGCTGTGTCCCCAATGTCCCCCCAGGGCCGGGGGGCTCTGCAGGACATGGAGCAGCTGTCCCTGTTCTGCACCCTGTGCAAGCTGATCCCAGCTGATGCTGCTGTATCCCAGCTGATCCCAGCTGATCCCAGCTGATCCCGATATCCCAGCTGATCCCAGCTGATCCTGGCTGTATCCTGGGATCCTGGCTGTATCCCAGCTGGATCCCAGCTGTATCCTGGGATCCTGGCTGATCCCAATATCCCATCTGTGTCCCCCAGGGCCGGGGGGCTCTGCAGGACATGGAGCAGCTGTCCCTGTTCCGCACCCTGTGCAAGCTGATCCCGATATCCCAGCTGATCCCAGCTGATCCCAGCTGATCCCAGCTGATCCCAGTATCCTGTCTCTCTCCCCCCAGGGCCGGGGGGCTCTGCAGGACATCGAGCAGCTGTCCCTGTTCTGCACCCTCTGCAAGCTGATCCCGATATCCCAGCTGATCCCGATATCCCAGCTGATCCCAGCTGATCCCAGCTGATCCCAGCTGATCCCAGCTGATCCCAGCTGATCCCAATATCCCATCTGTGTCCCCCAGGGCCGGGGGGCTCTGCAGGACATCGAGCAGCTGTCCCTGTTCCGCACCCTGTGCAAGCTGATCCCGATATCCCAGCTGATCCCGATATCCCAGCTGATCCCAATATCCCAGCTGATCCCAATATCCCAGCTGATCCCAGCTGATCCCAATATCCCAGCTGATCCCGATATCCCAGCTGATCCCGATATCCCAGCTGATCCCAATATCCCAGCTGATCCCAATATCCCAGCTGATCCCAGCTGATCCCAATATCCCAGCTGATCCCGATATCCCAGCTGATCCCAGCTGATCCCAGCTGATCCCAGGATCCCAGCTGATCCCAGCTGATCCCAGGATCCCAGCTGATCCCAGCTGATCCCAATATCCCAGCTGATCCCAGGATCCCAGCTGATCCCAGCTGATCCCAGTATCCTGTCTCTGTCCCCCAGGGCCGGGGGGCTCTGCAGGACATGGAGCAGCTGTCCCTGTTCCGCACCCTGTGCCAGCTGATCCCGATATCCCAGCTGATCCCAGCTGATCCCCATATCCCAGCTGATCCCAGCTGATCCCGATATCCCAGCTGATCCCAGCTGATCCCCATATCCCAGCTGATCCCAGCTGATCCCGATATCCCAGCTGATCCCAGCTGATCCCAGCTGATCCCAGCTGATCCCAGCTGATCCCAATATCCCGTGTCTCTCCCCCAGGGCCGGGGGGCTCTGCAGGACATGGAGCAGCTGTCCCTGTTCCGCACCCTGTGCAAGCTGATCCCGATATCCCAGCTGATCCCAGCTGATCCCAGCTGATCCCAGCTGATCCCAGTATCCTGTCTCTCTCCCCCCAGGGCCGGGGGGCTCTGCAGGACATCGAGCAGCTGTCCCTGTTCTGCACCCTCTGCAAGCTGATCCCGATATCCCAGCTGATCCCGATATCCCAGCTGATCCCAGCTGATCCCAGCTGATCCCAGCTGATCCCAGCTGATCCCAGCTGATCCCAATATCCCATCTGTGTCCCCCAGGGCCGGGGGGCTCTGCAGGACATGGAGCAGCTGTCCCTGTTCCGCACCCTGTGCAAGCTGATCCCGATATCCCAGCTGATCCCAGCTGATCCCAGCTGATCCCAGCTGATCCCAGCTGATCCCAGCTGATCCCAGTATCCTGTCTCTGTCCCCCAGGGCCGGGGGGCTCTGCAGGACATGGAGCAGCTGTCCCTGTTCCGCACCCTGTGCAAGCTGATCCTGATATCCCAGCTGATCCCAGCTGATCCTGATATCCCAGCTGATCCCGATATCCCAGCTGATCCCGATATCCCAGCTGATCCCAGCTGATCCCAGCTGATCCCGATATCCCAGCTGATCCCGATATCCCAGCTGATCCCGATATCCCAGCTGATCCCAGCTGATCCCGATATCCCAGCTGATCCCGATATCCCAGCTGATCCCAGCTGATCCCAGCTGATCCCAGCTGATCCCAATATCCCATCTGTGTCCCCCAGGGCCGGGGGGCTCTGCAGGACATGGAGCAGCTGTCCCTGTTCCGCACCCTGTGCAAGCTGATCCCAATATCCCAGCTGATCCCAGCTGATCCCAGCTGATCCCAGCTGATCCCAGCTGATCCCAGCTGATCCCGATATCCCAGCTGGATCCCAGCTCTATCCCAGCTGATCTCAGGATCCCAGCTGATCCCAGCTGATCCCAGTATCCCATCTCTCTCCCCCCAGGGCCGGGGGGCTCTGCAGGACATCCAGCAGCTGTCCCTGTTCCGCACCCTGTGCCAGCTGATCCCGATATCCCAGCTGATCCCAGCTGATCCCAGCTGATCCCGATATCCCAGCTGTATCCTGGCTGTATCCTGGGATCCCAGCTGATCCCAATATCCCGTGTCTCTCTCCCCCAGGGCCGGGGGGCTCTGCAGGACATGGAGCAGCTGTCCCTGTTCCGCACCCTGTGCAAGCTGATCCCGATATCCCAGCTGATCCCAGCTGATCCCGATATCCCAGCTGATCCCAGCTGATCCCAGCTGATCCCAATATCCCAGCTGATCCCGATATCCCAGCTGATCCCAGGATCCTGTCTCTATCCCCCCAGGGCCGGGGGGCTCTGCAGGACATCGAGCAGCTGTCCCTGTTCCGCACCCTGTGCAAGCTCTCGGTGTCCGTGGGGGCCGTCAGGGACATCGTGCCCACCCTGCGCGGGGCCATCGCCACGGCCCAGAGCGGCACCCCCGGTGAGGACCCCAAAAATACCCCGGGGAGGGGGGGAACCCAAAAATAACCCCGGGGGGAACCCAAAAATAACCCCGGGGAGGGGGGGGGAACCCAAAAATAACCCCGGTGAGGACCCCAAAAACAACCCCGGTGAGGACCCCAAAAATACCCCGGGGAGGGGGGGAACCCAAAAATAACCCCGGGGGGAACCCAAAAATTACCCCGGGGGGGACCCCAAAAACAACCCCATGGAGGGGGGGACCCCAAAACAACCCCATGGAGGGGGAACCTAAAATAACCCTGGGGGACCCTAAAATACCCTGGGAGGGGGAACCCAAAAATACCTCGGGGGGGACCTCAAAAACAACCCCGGTGAGGCACCCCAAAAATACCCCGGGGAGGGGAGGAACCCAAAAATAACCCCGGGGGGGACCCCAAAAACAATCCCATGGAGGGGATGGACCCCAAAAACAACCCCATGGAGGGGAGGGGAACCCAAAAATAACCCCATGGAGGGGGGAACCCAAAAACAACCCCATGGAGGGGGGGGGAGGGGAACCCAAAAAACAACCCCATGGAGAGGGGGGACCCAAAAACAACCCCAGGGGGGAGGACCCCAAAACAACCCCGGTGAGGCACCCCAAAAATACCCCGTGGAGGGGGGGGACCCAAAAATAACCCCGGTGAGGCACCCAAAAACAACCCCATGGAGGAGAGGGGACCCAAAAACAACCCTGATGGGGGGACCCCAAAAACAACCCCATGGAGGGGGGAACTCAAAAACAACCCCATGGAGGGGAGGGGACCCCAAAAACAACCCCATGGAGGGGGGAACTCAAAAACAACCCCGGGGGGGAGGGACCCCAAAAACAACCCCATGGAGGGGGGGAACCCAAAAACAACCCCATGGAGGGGATGGACCCCAAAAACAACCCCAGGGGGGGACCCCAAAAACAACCCCGGGGGGGACCCCAAAAACAACCCCATGGAGGAGAGGATGGGGGGACCCCAAAAACAACCCCATGGAGGGAGGGGACCCCAAAAACAACCCCAGGGGGGGACGGGACACCCAAAAAACAACCCCATGGAGGGGGGAACTCAAAAACAACCCCATGGAGGGGAGGGGGAGCCCAAAAAAATACCCCATGGAGGGGGGAGGGGAACCCAAAAACAATCCCATGGAGGAGGGAATGGACCCCAAAAAAGAACCCCATGGTGGGGAGGGGAAACCAAAAATTACCCCAGGGGGGTACCCCAAAAACAACCCCATGGAGGGGAGGGGACCCCAAAACAACCCCGGGGGGGGATCCCAAAAACAACCCCATGGAGGGGAGGGGACCCCAAAAACAACCCCAGGGGGGACCCCAAAAACAACCCCATGGAGGGGAGGGGACCCCAAAAAAAACCCCATGGAGGGGGGACCCCAAAAACAACCCCAGGGGGGGAGGACCCCAAAAAATACCCCATGGAGGGGGGGGGACCCCAAAATCAACCCCATGGGGTGGGGGGACCCCAAAAACAGCCCCGGGGGGGTTGGGGACACCCTAAAAAATACCCCGGCGGGGAACCCCAAAAACAACCCCATGGAGGGGGGAACCCCAAAAAACAACCCCATGGAGGGGAGGGGACCGCAAAACAACCCCATGGAGGGGAACCCCAAAAAACAAACCTATGGGGAGGGGATGGGGAGAGGACCCCAAAAAACAACCCTATGGAGAAGGGAACCCAAAAAAACTCCCCATTTTGGGGTTTGAGGAGGTTTTGGGGTCCGAGGAGGTTTTGGGATTTCAAGGAGGTTTTGAGGAGGTTTTGGGGTTTGAGGAGGTTTTGGGGTCTGAGGAGGTTTTGGGATTTCAAGGAGGTTTTGAGGAGGTTTTGGGGTTTGAGGAGGTTTTTGGGGTCCCGAGGAGGTTTTGAGGAGGTTTTGGGGTTCTGAGGAGGTTTTGAGGAGGTTTTGGGGTTCTGAGGAGCTTTTGAGGAGGTTTTGAGGAGGTTTTTGGGGTTTTGAGGAGGTTTTGAGGAGGTTTTGGGTTCTGAGGAGGTTTCTGGGGTCCCGAGGAGGTTTTTGGGGTCACTTCACCCCAATTCTGGCAGGCCCCGTGTTCGTGGAGCTCCCCATCGACGTCCTCTACCCCTTCCACGTGGTGCAGAAGGAGCTGGGGGGGGCCCGGAGCCCCCGCGGGCTGAGGGGGAAGGTCCTGAACTGGTGAGAACTGGGGGAAACTGGGCTGGGTTAAACTGGGCTGGGTGAAACTGGGCTGGACTGGGGGAAACTGGGCTGGGTTAAACTGGGCTGGGCTGGGGAAAACTGGGCTGGGTTAAACTGGGCTGGTTTGGGGGCTCAGTTTTGGGGTTAAACTGGGCTGATTTGGGGGCTCAGTTTGGGGTTAAACTGGGCTGGTTTGGGGGTCAGTTTTGGGTTAAACTGGGCTGGTTTGGGGGCTCAGTTTTGGGTTAAACTGGGCTGGTTTGGGGGTCAGCTTTGGGTTAAACTGGGCTGGTTTGGGGCTCAGTTTTGGGTCAAACTGGGCTGGTTTGGGGCTCAGTTTGGGTTAAACTGGGCTGGTTTAGGGCTCAGTTTGGGTTAAACTGGGCTGGTTTGGGAGCTCAGTTTTGGGGTTAAACTGGGCTGGTTTAGGGAGTCAGTTTTGGATTAAACTGGGCTGGTTTAGGGGCTCAGTTTTGGGTTAAACTGGGCTGATTTGGGGGCTCAGTTTGGGGTTAAACTGGGCTGGTTTGGGGGCTCAGTTTGGGGTTAAACTGGGCTGGTTTAGGGAGTCAGTTTTGGGTTAAACTGGGCTGGTTTGGGGGCTCAGCTGAGCCCATCTGGGGGGTCCCACCCCCCAATTTCCTCTCCAGGTACCTACAGAACTACCTGCACAATCTGTTTGCGGGGGCCTGGGAGCCCCGGGCCGTCACCCCCCTGCCCATCACCGTCCCCCTGCCCACCCAGGACCAGGTGGGGCCTCGGGGGGAACCCCCAGGGGGGGATTTGGGGGGGTCTGGGGGTGGGAAAGTCGTGGGATGGGGGGTGGGGGAAGTTTGGGATTGACCAGGTGGGATTTGGGGGACCCTGCTGGGGAAGGAGGGGGTTTGGGGGGTCTGTAGGTGTCAGGGGAGGGTTGGGATTGACTGGGTGGGATTTAGGGTGTTGGGGGATTTGGGGATCAGCTGGGTGGGGCTTGGGATCGGCTGGGTGGGATTTGGGGGTCTGTGGTGTCATGGGAGGGGTTTGGGATCAGCTGGGTGGGATTTGGGGGTTGGGGGGGATTTGGTATCGACCAGGTGGGATTTGGGGGACCCTGCTGGGAAGGGGGAATTTGGGGGTCTGGGGTGGGAAAGTCATGGGATGGGGGGTGGGAAGTTTGGGGTTGGCCAGGTGGGATTTGGGGAGTTTGGGATTGGCTGGGTGGGATTTGGGGGCGTTGGGGGTGGGATTGGCTGGAGTGGGATTTGGGGGTTTGGGATGTGCTGGGTGGGATTTGGGGGCCCTGCTGGGGAAGGGGGTTTGGGGGGTCTGTGGTGTCGTGGGGGGGTTTGGGATTGGCTGGGTGGGATTTGGGGGTTTGGGGGTTTGGGATCAGCTGGGTGGGATTTGGGGGCCCTGCTGTGATGGGGGCTGGGAGGGTCTGTGGTGTCATGGGGATGGTTTGGGATTGGCTGGGTGGGATTTGGGGGAGCCCTGCTGGTGATGGGGGGATTGGGGGTGTCTGTGGTGTCATGGGAGGGTTTGGGATCAGCTGGGTGGGATTTGGGGGGTTGGGGGTTGGGATCGGCTGGGTGGGATTTGAGGGGGTTGGGGGATTTGGGGGCCCTGCTGCGGATGGGGGGAGTTTGGGGGTCTGTGGTGTCATGGGGGGATTTGGGATTAGCTGGGTGGGATTTGGGGGCCCTACTGGGGAAGGGGGGATTTGGGGGGTCTGTGGTGTTATGGGGGTGGTTTGGGATCAGCTGGGTGGGATTTGGGGGGCTTGGGGGGTTTGGGATTGGCCAGGTGGGATTTGGGGGCCCTGCTGGGAAGAGGGGGTTTGGGGGTCTGTGGTGTCATGGGAGGGTTTGGGATCGGCTGGGTGGGATTTGAGGAGTCTCTGCCAGATGGAGGGGGTTGGGGGTCTGTGGTGTCATGGGAGGGTTTGGGATCAGCTGGGTGGGATTTGAGGGGGTTGGGGGCATTTGGGATCAACCAAGTGGGATTTGAGGGGTTGGGGGATTTGGGATCAACTAGAGTGGGATTTGGGGGACCCTACTGTGATGGGAGGGGTTTGGGGGGTCTGTGGTGTCATGGGAGGGTTTGGGATTGGCTGGGTGGGATTTGGGGGCCCTGCTGTGATGGGGGGATTTGGGGGGTCTGTGGTGTCATGGGAGGGGTTTGGGATTGGCTGGGTGGGATTTGGGGGATTGAGGGGGTTGGGATCGGCTGGGTGGGATTTGAGGGGTTGGGGGGGCATTTGGGATCAGCTGGGTGGGATTTGAGGGGGCTGGGGATTGGGGATCTGCTGGGTGGGATTTGAGGGGTCTGGGGGGATTTGGGATCAACCAGGTGGGATTTGGGGGGCCCTGCTGTGATGGGGGGATTTGAGGGGTCTGTGGTGTCATGGGAGGGGTTTGGGATCGGCTGGGTGGGATTTGGAGGGTTGAGGGGGTTTGGGATTGACTGGGTTGGATTTGGGGGCCCTGCAGGGGAAGGGGGAGGTTTGGTGGGGGGTTGAAGGTGGGATTTGGGGAGGGTTGTGGGATTGGGGGTGGGGCAGGTTTAGGATTGGCTCACTGAGCCAGGTTTAGGGTTAATCCAGGCTGTTTTTGCAGGTCCAGCGCTGTGCTGAGCTCTTAAGCCGGGTTTAGGGGCTGTTAAACCGGGTTTAGGGGCAGTCTGAGCCAGGTTTAGGGTTAATCTGGGCTGTTCTATCCAGGTCCAGCGCTGTGCTGAGCTCTTAAGCCGGGTTTAGGGGCTGTTAAACCGGGTTTAGGGGCTCTTAAGCCGGGTTTAGGGTTAATCTGGGCTGTTTTTTCCAGGTCCAGCGCTGTGCTGAGCTCTTAAGCCGGGTTTAGGGTTAATTTGAGCTGTTTTATCCAGGTCCAGCGCTGAGCTGAGCTCTTAAGCCGGGTTTAGGGGCAGTTTGAGCCGGGTTTAGGGTTAATGCAGGCTGTTTTTAACAGGTCCAGCGCTGTGCTGAGCTGTTAAGCCGGGTTTAGGGGCAGTCTGAGCCGGGTTTAGGGTTAATCTGGGCTGTTTTTTCCAGGTCCAGCGCTGTGCTGAGCTCTTAAGCCGGGTTTAGGAGCTGTTAAGCCGGGTTTAGGGGCAGTCTGAGCCGGGTTTAGGGTTAATTTGGGCTGTTTTATCCAGGTCCAGCGCTGTGCTGAGCTCTTAAGCCGGGTTTAGGGGCAGTCTGAGCCGGGTTTAGGGTTAATTTGAGCTGTTTTTTCCAGGTCCAGCGCTGTGCTGAGCTGTTAAGCCGGGTTTAGGGGCAGTCTGAGCCGGGTTTAGGGTTAATCCAGGCTGTTTTTTCCAGGTCCAGCGCTGTGCTGAGCTCTTAAGCCGGGTTTAGGGGCTGTTAAACCGGGTTTAGGGGCAGTCTGAGCCAGGTTTAGGGTTAATCTGGGCTGTTTTTTCCAGGTCCAGCGCTGTGCTGAGCTCTTAAGCCGGGTTTAGGGTTAATCCAGGCTGTTTTTTCCAGGTCCAGCGCTGTGCTGAGCTCTTAAGACGGGTTTAGGGGCAGTCTGAGCTGGGTTTAGGGTTAATTTGAGCTGTTTTTTCCAGGTCCAGCGCTGTGCTGAGCTCTTAAGCCGGGTTTAGGGGCAGTCTGAGCCGGGTTTAGGGTTAATTTGGGCTGTTTTTCCAGGTCCAGCGCTGTGCTGAGCTCTTAAGCCGGGTTTAGGGGCTGTTAAGACGGGTTTAGGGGCAGTTTGAGCCGGGTTTAGGGTTAATCCAGGCTGTTTTTTCCAGGTCCAGCGCTGTGCTGAGCTCTTAAGCCGGTTTAGGGCTGTTAAGCCGGGCTTAGGGGCAGTCTGAGCCGGGTTTAGGGTTAATTTGGGCTGTTCTATCCAGGTCCAGCGCTGTGCTGAGCTCTTAAGCCGGGTTTAGGGGCCGACTGAGCCGGGTTTAGGGTTAATCCAGGCTGTTCTATCCAGGTCCAGCGCTGTGCTGAGCTCTTAAGCCGGGTTTAGGGGCAGTCTGAGCCGGGTTTAGGGTTAATTTGAGCTGTTTTATCCAGGTCCAGCGCTGTGCTGAGCTCTTAAGCCGGGCCTCCAGGCCCCTGGTGCTGCTGGGCAGTCAGGCCTTGCTGCCCCCGACCCCGGCCGAGGAGCTGCGGTGAGGCCGGACTGGGTTAAACTGGGTTAAACTGGGCTGGACTGGGCTGGGTTAAACTGGGCTGGACTGGGTTAAACTGGGTTAAACTGGGCTGGGCTGGGCTGGGCTGGGTTAAACTGGCCTGGGCTGGGTTAAACTGGGTTAAACTGGGCTGGGCTGGGCTGGGCTGGGTTAAACTGGCCTGGGCTGGGTTGAACTGGGCTGGGTTGGGTTGAACTGGGCTGGACTGGGTTGATCTGGGCTGGGCTGGGTTAAACTGGGCTGGGCTGGGTTAAACTGGGGTGGACTGGGCTGGGCCGGGCCAGGCCGGGCTGGGCTGGGTTAAACTGGGTGGACTGGGTTAAACTGGGCTGGGTTAAACTGGCCTGGATTAAACTGGGCTGGGCTGGGTTGAACTGGGCTGGACTGGGTGCAACTGGACTGGTTTGGGACATAGGAACTGGTTTGGGACCACTTGGAGCCAGTTTGGGGTCAAACCGAGCCAGTTTGGGGCTGAACTGAGTCCATTTTGGGGCCCCAAATGGGGCCAGTTTGGGACCCCAAATGGGGCCAGTTTGGGACTCCAAATGGGACCAGTTTGGGACCCCAAATGGGGCCAGTTTGGGACTCCAAATGGGACCAGTTTGGGACTCCAAATGGGGCCAGTTTGGGACTCCAAATGGGACCAGTTTGGAACCCCAAATGGGACCAGTTTGGAACCCCAAATAGGGCCAGTTTGGAACCTCAAATAGGGCCAGTTTGGGACCCAAAATGGGACCAGTTTGGGACTCCAAATAGGGACAGTTTGGGACTCCAAATGGGGCCAGTTTGGAACCCCAAATAGGGCCAGTTTGGGACTCCAAATGGGGCCAGTTTGGGACCCAAAATGGGACCAGTTTGGGACTCCAAATAGGGACAGTTTGGGACTCCAAATGGGGCCAGTTTGGGACTCCAAATGGGGCCAGTTTGGGACCCAAAATGGGACCAGTTTGGGACTCCAAATAGAGACAGTTTGGGACTCCAAATGGGACCAGTTTGGGACTCAAATGGGGCCAGTTTGGGACCCAAAATGGGACCAGTTTGGGACTCCAAATAGGGACAGTTTGGGACTCCAAATGGGACCAGTTTGGAACCCCAAATGGGGCCAGTTTGGAACCTCAAATAGGGCCAGTTTGGGATCCCAGAGGGGGCCAGTTTGGAGCCCCAAACTCAGCTACTCTGGGGCTACACTGAGCCACTTTGGGGCCAAACTGAACCAGTTTGGAATCCCAAACCAAACCAGTTTGGGACCAAATGGAGCCAGTTTGGAGCCCCAAACCAAACCAGTTTGGGACCCAAAATGGGACCAGTTTGGAACTCTGACTGAGCCCATTTGGGCCACAAACCGAACCAGTTTGGAACCCCAAACCAAACCAGTTTGGAACCAAACCAAACCAGATTGGGGCCAAACTGAGCCAGTTTGAGACCCCAAACTGAGCCAGTTTGAGACCCCAAACCAAACCAGTCTGGGATCAAATGGAGCCTGTTTGGAGCCCCCAAATGGAGCTGCTTTGGAGCCCCAGACCAAACCAGTCTGGGACCAAACCGAGCCAGTTTGGAGACCCCAAACCAAACCAGTTTGGGACCAAATGGAGCCAGTTTGGATCTCCAAACCAAACCAGTTTGGAGCCCCAGACCAAACCAGTCTGGGACCAAACCGAGCCAGTTTGGAGCCCCAGACCAAACCAGTTTGAGACCCCAGACCAAACCAGTTTGAGACCAAACCGAACCAGTTTGACACCCCAAACCAAACCAGTTTGAGACCCCAAACCAAACCAGTTTGAGACCCCAAACCAAACCAGTTTGAGACCCCAAACCAAACCAGTTTGAGACCCCAAACCAAACCAGTCTGGGACCAAACAGAGCCAGTTTGGAGACCCCAAACCAAACCAGTTTGGGACCAAATGGAGCCAGTTTGGAGCCCCAAACCAAACCAGTCTGGAGCCCCAGACCAAACCAGTTTGGGATCAAACCGAGCCACTTTGGATCTACAAACCAAACCAGTTTGGATCCCCAAAACAAACCAGTTTGAGACCCCAAACCAAACCAGTTTGGACCCCAAACCGAACCAGTTTGGGCCCAAACCGAGCCAGTTGGGGTTCCCACTGACCCCCCCCTGTCCCCAGCTCGGCACTGGAGGCCCTGGGCACCCCCTGTTACCTGGGGGGGGCTGCCCGGGGGCTGCTGCCCCCCGAGAGCCCCCTGGTTCTGCGGCACCGGCGGCGCGAGGCCCTGCGGGACGCTGACCTGGTGCTGCTCGCAGGTACGGGGGGTGGAGGGGGGAAAAGGGACCCCAGGGGGGTCCTGAGGGGGTGCTGGTGGTCCCTGAGCCCCCCACCATCACGTCTGACCCCTCCAAGGCACGGTGTGCGATTTCCGCCTCTCCTACGGGCGCCTCTTCGGCCGCGGCGCCGCCGTCGTGGCCGTGAATCGAGAGCGGGAGCAGCTGCTGCGGAATGCGGGAGTGTTCTGGAACCCAAAACTGGCTGTGCAGGGTGAGGGAGCCCCTAAAACACCCCAGAGACCCCCAGGGCGTCTTCTGGAGCCCAAAACTGGCTGTGCAGGGTGAGAGACCCCAAAAACACCCCCAAAACACCCCAAAACCCACCCAGAAACTCCCAGGGCATCTTCTGGAGCCCCAAACTGGCTGTGCAGGGTGAGAGAGCCCCAAAAACACCCCAAAACCACCCAGAGACCCCCAAAACCACCCCAAAACCACCCCAAAACCACCCAGAGACCCCCAGGGCGTCTTCTGGAGCCCAAAACTGGCTGTGCAGGGTGAGAGAGCCCCCAAAAACCCACCCAGAGACCCCCAGGGCGTCTTCTGGAACCCCAAACTGGCTGTGCAGGGTGAGAGACCCCCCAAAACCACCCCAAAACCCACCCAGAGACCCCCAGGGCGTCTTCTGGAACCCCAAACTGGCTGTGCAGGGTGAGAGACCCCCCAAAACCCACCCAGAGACCCCCAGGGCGTCTTCTGGAACCCCAAACTGGCTGTGCAGGGTGAGAGACCCCCCAAAAACACCCCAGAGACCCCCAGGGCGTCTTCTGGAACCCAAAACTGGCTGTGCAGGGTGAGAGACCCCCAAAAACCCACCCAGAGACCCCCAGGGCGTCTTCTGGAACCCCAAACTGGCTGTGCAGGGTGAGAGACCCCCAAAAACACCCCCAAAACCACCCAGAAACCCCCAGGGCGTCTTCTGGAGCCCAAAACTGGCTGTGCAGGGTGAGAGAGCCCCTAAAACACCCCAAAACACCCCAAAACCCACCCAGAGACCCCCAAAACCACCCCAAAACCACCCAGAGACCCCCAAAACCCACCCAGAGACCCCCAAAACACCCCCAGGGCGTCTTCTGGAACCCCAGACTGGCTGTGCAGGGTGAGGGACCCCCCAAAAACACTCCCAAAACCCACCCAAACTCCCCCAGGGCGTCTTCTGGAACCCCAGACTGGCTGTGCAGGGTGAGAGACCACCCAAAAACACCCCAGAGACCCCCAAAACCACCCAGAGACCCCCAGGGTGTCTTCTGGAGCCCAAAACTGGCTGTGCAGGGTGAGGGACCCCCCAAAAACACCCCAAAACCCACCTAGAGAGCCCCAAAACCCACCCAAACCCACCCAGAAACCCCCAGGGCATCTTCTGGAATCCCAAACTGACTGTGCAGGGTGAGAGAGCCCCCAAAACCACCCCAAACCCACCCAGAAACCCCCAAAACCACCCAGGGTGTCTTCTGGAACCCCAGACTGGCTGTGCAGGGTGAGAGACCCCCAAAACCCACCCAGAGACCCAAAACCACCCCCAAAACCACCCAGAGACCCCCAAAGCCACCCCAAACCCACCCAGAGACCCCCAGGGCGTCTTCTGGAACCCCAAACTGGCTGTGCAGGGTGAGAGAGCCCCAAAAACACCCCAAAACACCCCAAAACCCACCCAGAGACCCCCAAAACCACCCCCAAAACCACCCAGAGACCCCCAGGGCGTCTTCTGGAACCCCAAACTGGCTGTGCAGGGTGAGAGACCCCCAAAACACCTAAACTCCCCCAAAACCACCCTAGTGCGTCTTCTGGAACCCCAAACTGGCTGTGCAGGGTGAGAGACCCCAACACCCCAAAACACCCCAAAACCACCCAGAGACCCCAGGGCGTCTTCTGGAACCCCAAACTGGCTGTGCAGGGTGAGAGAGCCCCCAAAACCCACCCAGAGACCCCCAAAACCACCCCAAAACTCCCCCAGGAACCCCAAACTGGCTGTGCAGGGTGAGAGCCCAAAACACCCCAGACCCAAACACCCCAAAACCACCCAGAGACCCCAAAACCACCCCAAAACCACCCAGAGACCCCCAAAACTCCCCCAGGGCGTCTTCTGGAGCCCAAAACTGGCTGTGCAGGGTGAGAGACCCCCCAAAACCACCCCAAAACCCACCCAGAGACCCCCAAAACCCACCCAGAGACCCCCAGGGCATCTTCTGGAACCCCAAACTGGCTGTGCAGGGTGAGAGACCCCCCAAAACACCCCAAAACCCACCCAGAGACCCCCAAAACACCCCAGGGCGTCTTCTGGAACCCCAAACTGGCTGTGCAGGGTGAGAGAGCCCCCCAAAACACCCAAAACCCCCAAAACACCCCCAAAACCACCCAGAGACCCCCAGGGCGTCTTCTGGAACCCCAAACTGGCTGTGCAGGGTGAGAGAGCCCCCAAAACCACTCCAAAACTCACCTAGAGACCCCCAAAACCCACCCAAACCCACCCAGAGACCCCCAGGCGTCTTCTGGAACCCCAAACTGGCTGTGCAGGTGAGGGACCCCAAAGCACCCAAAACCACCCAGAGACCCCCAAAACACCCCCAGGGCGTCTTCTGGAACCCCAAACTGGCTGTGCAGGGTGAGAGACCACCCAAAACACCCCAAAACCACCCCAAAACCACCCCAGAGACCCACCCAAAACCCACCCAGAGACCCCAGGCGTCTTCTGGAACCCCAGACTGGCTGTGCAGGGTGAGAGAGCCCCCAAAAACACCCCCAAAACACCCCAAAACCCACCCAAAACCACCTCAAAACCCACCCAGAGACCCCCAAAACACCCCTGGGGCGTCTTCTGGAACCCCAAACTGGCTGTGCAGGGTGAGGGACCCCCCAAAACACCCCAGAACCCACCCAGGGACCCCCCAAAATCACCCAGAGACCCCCAAAAACACTCAGAGACCCCCCCAAACCACCCAGAGACCCCCCTCAAAACCCACCCAGAGATCCCCAGGAGACCCCCAAATCCCACCCAGAGACCCCTGAAACACCCCCAAACCCCTGCCCAGAGACCCCTGGATCACTGAGAGACCCCCACCCACTGAGACCCCCACCCAGAGACCCCCGGGGGTGTGATGAGTTTGGAGGTCTCAGCAGGGTGTGTGATGAGTTTGGGGGTCTCAGCAGGTTTGGGGGTCTCAGCAGGGGGTGTGATGAGTTTGGGGGTCTCAGCAGATGTGATGAGTTTGGGGGTCTCAGCAGGCGTGATGAGTTTGGGGGTCTCAGCAGAGTTTGAGGTCCAGCAGGTGATGAGTTTGGGGGTCTCAGCAGGGGCTGTGATGAGTTTGGGGGTCTCAGCAGGGGTGTGATGAGTTTGGGGGTCTCAGCAGGGGGTGTGATGAGTTTGGGGGGGTCTCAGCAGGTGATGAGTTTGGGGGTCTCAGCAGGGGCTGTGATGAGTTTGGGGGTCTCAGCAGGGGTGTGATGAGTTTGGGGGTCTCAGCAGGGTGATGAGTTTGGGGGTCTCAGCAGGGGTGTGATGAGTTTGGGGGGTCTCAGCAGGGGGTGTGATGAGTTTGGGGGTCTCAGCAGGGGCTGTGATGAGTTTGGGGGTCTCAGCAGGTTTGGGGGTCTCAGCAGGTGATGAGTTTGGGGGTCTCAGCAGGGGGTGTGATGAGTTTGGGGGTCTCAGCAGGGGCTGTGATGAGTTTGGGGGTCTCAGCAGGGGGGGTGTGATGAGTTTGGGGGGTCTCAGCAGGTGATGAGTTTGGGGGTCTCAGCAGGTGTGATGAGTTTGGGGGTCTCAGCAGGTGATGAGTTTGGGGGTCTCAGCAGGGGGTGTGATGAGTTTGGGGGTCTCAGCAGGTGATGAGTTTGGGGGTCTCAGCAGGTGATGAGTTTGGGGTCTCAGCAGGTGATGAGTTTGGGGGTCTCAGCAGGGGGTGTGATGAGTTTGGGGGTCTCAGCAGGTTTGGGGGTCTCAGCAGGGTGTGAGATGAGTTTGGGGGTCTCAGCAGGTGTGTGGGGTCTGCAGTCCAGCAGGGTGTGATGAGTTTGGGGGTCTCAGCAGGTTTGGGGGTCTCAGCAGGGTGTGAGATGAGTTTGGGGGTCTCAGCAGGTTTGGGGGTCTCAGCAGGGTGTGAGATGAGTTTGGGGGTCTCAGCAGGTGTGATGGGGGTCTCAGCAGGGGTGTGATGAGTTTGGGGGTCTCAGCAGGTGATGAGTTTGGGGGTCTCAGCAGGGGGGTGTGATGACTTTGGGGGTCCCCAGGTGACCCCGCCTCGTTCGTGCTGGCCCTGGCTCGGAAGCTCCAGGGATTTTCCTGCCCCCGGGAATGGCTGGAAACGCTCCGGGAGAGGGAGAGGGAGAAGGAGGAGGAGAACAGGTGAGAGAGGGATGGGATGGGATGGGATGGGATGGGATTGATGGGATGGGATAGAGATAGAGATGGGATGAGATGAGATAGAGATGAGATAGAGATAGAGATAGAGATGAGATAGAATGAGATGAGATAGATAGAGATAGAGATAGAGATGAGATAGAGATAGAGATAGAGATAGAGATAGAGATAGAATAGAGATAGAGATGAGATAGAGATAGAGATAGAGATAGAGATGAGATAGAGATAGAATAGAGATAGAGATAGGATGAGATAGAGATAGAATGAGATAGAGATAGAGATAGAGATAGAGATAGAGATAGAGATAGAGATAGAGATAGATAGAGATAGAGATAGAATTGATAGAGATAGAATGGAGAATGGAGATAGAGATGGGAATGATAGAGATAGAGATAGAGATAGAGATAGAGATAGGATGTAGAATAGAGATGAAGATAGAATAGAGAATAGAGAATGAGATAGAGATAGAATAGAGATAGAGATAGAGATAGAATGAGATAGATGAGATAGAATAGAGATAGGAGATAGAGATGAGATGATTGATAGGATAGGATGAGATAGGATGAGATAGAGATAGAGATTGATTGAGAGATGGAATGAGATGAGAGATGAGATAGAGATAGAAGATGATGGGATAGAGTATGATGAGGTAGAGATAGAGATGGGATGGGAGATAGAGATGAGATAGGAGATGAGATGAGATGAGAAGATGATAGGAGGTATGAGGTGAGATAGGATGATGGGAGAGATAGGGATAGAGATGGAGATAGAGATGAGATAGATAGAGATAGAATAGAGATGAGATGAGATAGAATAGATAGAGATAGAGATAGAGATAGATGAGATAGAATAGAATAGAGATAGAATAGAATGAGATAGAGATAAGATAGAATAGAGATAGAGATAGATAGAGATAGAGATAGAGATAGGATAGAATGAGATAGAATGAGATAGAGATAGAGATAGAGATAGAGATAGAGATAGAGATAGAGATAGATGATATGAGATAGAGATAGAGATAGAGATAGAGATAGAGATTAGAATAGAAGAGATAGAGATAGAGATAGAGATGAGATAGAGATAGAGATAGAGATAGAGATGAGATAG